TGATGAAGCATCTTGTTATTTGAAAACATCCCGTATTCTGTTAACCCTCAGTCAGGCTGAGACTTGAGATAACTTGAGTCAACTGTCTGTTATGTCTTGTTAACTGAGACATCCTGTTATCTGCCGACCCTCAGTTAGGCCGAAAGCCAACTCAGCATTTTTACAGCTTGGAAAACAACTGATTAAGCAAAAGGTGAAAAGTGTATCACGAGGAAGACCTACGGCCTTCCTCCCAGAGACCACTGCCCACATCCCAAAGACCCCGGCCCACAATTCTTGGAAGGCTTTGTGCAAGCGCAAGGGCTGATAAGCTAATTAGCATATGAAGTGAGAATAGGCGGGGTTATGTAATGAATATGTATAGGCACTAATAGAATATTAATTGTTTCGCTGTATAAATATGAGATAGTTTGTCACTTTGAACATGCACGATAGGCGGAAAGATCCCCCATGCATCCAGCGCTGCAATAAAGAATATACCACTTAAGGAAATTTCGGCTTTGATCTTTAAATCACCTCCCACAGGATGCCGTCCTTCCCAAACTGAGCCTGCAGGGGCTGCCCACAGGCAGCAGCTCTCCATACCACAGGGTCCATCCATCCCCCAGGAGCAAACTGCTCCAGCACGGGTCCCCCATGGGTGGGGGCAGCTCCCCCCAGACCCCCTGCTCCTGCGTGGGCTCCTCTCCACGGGCTGCAGCTCCGGCCCGGGGCCTGCTCCTGCGGGGGCTCTCCATGGGCCGCAGCCTCCTCCAGGCCACATCCACCTGCTCCACCGGGGGCTCCTCCACCCATGGGGGGGCTGCAGCGTGGAGATCTGCTCCATGTGGGACCCATGGGCTGCAGGGGGACAGCCTGCTCCACCAGGGGCCTCTCCACAGGCCACAGGGGAACTGCTGCTGCCTGCCTGCAGCACCTCCTGCCCTCCTGCTGCACTCACCTGGGGGGCAGCAGGGCTGCTGCTCACTCCCCTCACCCAGCTGCTGCACAACCGTTTTTTCCCCTTTTCTCTGATCTGTTCTCCCAGAGGCCCAACCAGCATTGCTCCCTGGCTCAGCTCTGTCCAGCAGTGGGTCCCTTTTGGAGCAGTCTGGAGCTGGCTCTGATCTGGCATGGGGGCAGCTGGTGGGCTCTGCTCACAGAGGCCACCCTACAGCCCCTCACTACCAAAACCTTGTCACATAAGCATGATACAACAAGGCAAGAAGTAAGCAAGAGTCCAAGAATGGTTAAAATCAGTTTTTAAATTTAAACCTGATAAAATCAAAAATCAATTACGAAGTGTTTACTTTCCTTTGAAATAGTTACTCCTTCATTCTCTCAGGTGGGACTTTGAGGTTTTTGGACCCCACCAAGGCTCAGCAGATCAGCTGTGTGTGCTGTGGGGCTGGTGTGCACTGATGCTTAGCCCTGTCCTGTAGCCAGCCTGGGCACAGGCATTGCGGCCAAAGCTTGCAAGGCACTTCTGATACCCAGTGGTGAAGGTCTTCCATCCTCCTGCTTATTCCAGGGTTATTGCTACTTCCACAAGGAGAGTTTCAAGTCTCCCAGGCCACTTCCATAGGTTCTGTAGGCAGAGAGACAGTCTGTAATGGAGAGCTCAATACAGCTCAGCCCAGGAGTTGTTCTGACTGACGTTGCTGGTGTCAGACGTGCCCAAGCTCAAGGCAGAAAAAGATAGGCTAAGGCTGTTTTTCTTGTAGAGTGCAGTGCAGAGTACAGGTGGACAAAGCCATAGATATTAATTGGTTTTGTTATCAGGAGTCACCTCTGAGCCCTAGGAAGAAAACAATCTTTTACTTTCAATAATGTTTTATCAAGGTTGCCTTTACATGTAAAAACATTACTTGTGTTGTGCCGGGACTTATTCAAAGCATGCTGTATGCTCCAGTGGAAACTTCTGCTTGCTAACTTGTCATCAATATGCAGAAGTAATTTTAGTATTACGGCTTAAATACACCTCTCTCTTAAAATTGTGTTTATATTTAGGTGCTGCAGCTTGTTGTAATTGGTTGGAAGATCCCCTCTAGTGTAGATTAAATAAATTTCTACTTTTTCAGTTCATCTGATATTCACCTGGCACTTCTCAGAGCTCCAGGCTGGGAATTTTTAATTTCACTTTCCAAATATGAAACCTCAAATGCTCATTTTAGGAGGTCAAATTTGACTGAAACAAGAAGGAATTAAGTTACCATTTAGATTTGTCAGTGGAACACTAGTAACTGGATGATCCATTGGGAAATACTGGGTACAGAGAAAGGTGAAGTCACTGTCTGAAAGGCAGTATTGCTTTTAGGAAGGGGCTAGCAAAGGGCTAGAACAAAGTCATAATGGGAGAAATAGATAGAGCAGAGATAGTTTTATGGTCTAAATACAATATCTTTTGCTCTTAGAAGTGTGGATGGGAGATATCAGCATGTCTGCTTTTGGTTTGAATCAAAGCTAACAAAGACACTGGTTGTAATTCTTGAGCTGTATTTGCCTCACTTTTTAGTCTCGTATTTTTAAATAACTCTGGAGCACAGTGTGCTTCATATTACTGGCCTTTTTTTTAAACCATTTTAGGTATGTTTTTTTGGACTGAGACCCACCATTTTTCCATTTGTTGGTATACTAATTTTCTTTACAAACAAGCCCTACATTTTCTTCACTCCCATGTTCTGTGTTCCAATGAATGAGGAAAAACTTCACAACTTGAAAACCACTCCTATTGTTGGTAATGAAGCATGTCTACATGGATGAAGCATACCGCTGTGGCACTGTTTTCTGCTCTGTTTCTCTTACATTATACATTTCTACTTTCTGTCCCAAAGCAAGCATGCAATGTTTCTCTGTGCTATTAAATCCTGCTGTATTCTACCCTAGAGGTGCCTGCCTGTGGAAACCAATGTGTGAATTGATTTTGTGCTGTTCTCTATGTACCTGGGGAACTCTCACATAGTCTGTGCAAGATTTTACCTTTCCTTCCTTTTTGTAGTGTTTGGCACTTTAATTTTGTGACACAATATGATTGGCTTTAGTCATATGAGATTCCTTCATTTCCACTCTACACAGAAGATTTTGTGAGCTTATTCACATGGATTTTTTTCTCTCACTTTCTGTCTCATGTCATGTTTTTGGCTTGACTGGAAGTAGACAAGATTGAATTACTTTGCAATTATATAGCATGTTGTGAAAGAAATGCATGTGGTCCTCTTGAGGCATTTGCTCTCTTATATAAGGCTGCATTATATACCGTGAGTATATAGATACTTCTGACCTTATTAACTTACTGTTGTGTTCAGCCAAATCAAATCCTCCCTAAACGTCTGCAGAAGAGATGAACAAATTGTGAGCTATTTTGGTTTCCAAGCATCTTTCTGAATGTACTGAATATTTCAGCTACCTTGTCATGTTATTGCTGTTTGCCTTTCATTGGGCTCAGCAGAATGTATCCATTGCAGATTTACAGCAGTTTAATATTAAAGCATCTCTGTACCAACATAGTGATTTGCTGGCTGTATAAATTATTTAAGCATCTGGGTGCAGGAATATATTTCAGAGAATGCTTTGTGGGCCTCTGGCATTAGTAATACTATGACAAGATAATCAGGGAGGTTTTGGGTACCTTAAGGAATGCAATTTGCTTGCAGAACCCAGACTTGTGCATTGCCCGAACTGCAGTGAGCAAAAGCCCAGAAGGACATACGGGAATGAGGTACGGAAACAACATGGGTTTTCCAAATTCATGTACCCATACTTGCAGAGCAAGTGGAGGAGTCCATGAAATCTTCAGGAGTGAGAGCTGCTGTGTGTGTCTCCACTGCTGAGTGTCACTACATCCAGCCCCTCAGCCCCAGTGTTGACAGGGTCACCAGAGCCTGCTGCCCTGCTTAGCCACCTCGGGGCTGTATGCAGAGTGTGCTGGTCACCACCTGGAGGGCAGGCAGGGATAAGGGGATCCTTATATAAGGATATAGGGATTTGATGAGGTGAAGGGGTGCTCCCAAAGCACTGAGATGTTCAAGGCAAGTAAGAAGACACAGGAGCACCCAGGGAAGGGGTCACAACAGGCAACCATTAGTGAGTCTAGTTCTTTGTGGAGTGGTATAGTATCTTCTGTTATTTGATCCACCGTTTGCAGCAGATGTTTGTGGAAGAGCAAGTCCTCTCCAGCATCTAAGCAAAGAGCAAGTCTTCACAGCAGAACTCAGATATTCTGGGACAGATCTGGATTTAAGTTGGTGTGGAGCAGCTCAGGGCAGGCAGCAACCTGCTGCTGTTAGTGTCTCCCTAGCTGATTTTCAGCCAGTGGGGTCCTGTGCCAGCTGTTGTAAATGCCAAAAGAGACACGGCAGTAGATCTTCAACTGGGCTGTAGCCAAACCTTCCCATGATTTAAAACTGCTTTGTCTGATAAGGTTTATGAAGGGAATTACAGGCACCTAAGCAAAAAATTGATACAAGTCCTAAGAGTCAGACTCCAGGGTAGAAAATATTGAACATTCTATTTTCTGTTTTATATTTTGAAATATGATCCCATTAGTTTACTGATTGAATGCCACATTAGGTATTTAATTTCAATATTAAAATTTTAATTTAATCTAGATTAACTATGGAAGCTATTTAATTTCTATATTTAGTAGCTCTTGCAAGCCACATAACCCAGAAGGGCTTGTAGATGTGATGTGCAAGTTGAATTTCCATCTTGCTCTCATACAATTGGACTACATCTTTGAATGATGCATGTAGTCAAGAAATAAATTAGTACATTGGAGAGGGAATAGATTTTCCCTCTTATATTTAAAAAATAATGAAGCTAGATGAGATTTTAATAGAAGAGGCTGAATACCAGAAGGCCTGGAAAAGGGATATGAAAGGAAGAACGTGCCTGTTCACGGCAGGGTTATGAAAAAGAACAGAATGCAAGTGAGAGATAATATGTAATCAGACAAAAAAAAACAGAAAGCAGCCAGCTGCAGAAAGGATGTTTTTGTGCTTTGGGGAGAAACTTCTCAGTTTCAGTGCTAGCCAGAGAGTTACAGAAATCCCCTTGAACCATGCACTGTGGAAGGCTTGCAGTCCTGTGCCTTTTCATAGTAAGTCTATTTTTGTACATTTTTCTTAATTGCTCATTTCCTCAAAAGTGATACTGGAAGGTACTTCACTACTCTGGCTGTTTTGAACTTTACTCTACCTGTACTTTGTAAGGAAGGCAACTACTGGCTAGGAGTGGACCATCACAGTAATGTTAAGAAGTGTACTTGGTGGCAAACACTGAAAGGCAAGGTTCCTGAGTCTATTCCTGACTTTATGAATTGAGCTGAAACCCGTCAAAGTCACTGAGGGCTTCTGACCTCATTAGAAATAGGAATGACAGGTTGGTCATTCCTATTCATCACTTTGATCCCTGGAGTCTTCAATCCCTGCTTATGGAATAACTAATAACATATATTATTAGTTATTAGTATGGAAGAACTAATCCTGGCAAAGATTTCCATGCACATGAAGGACACAAAAATCACTGGGAATCATCAGTATGGATTCAGCAAGAGAGGATTCACAAGCTGCAAAACAGGAGGTTTTATCTGTACAGAAGGAAACACTGATTGACTGTGATGGTGAGTGACCAACCACTGGCACAGGCTGCCCAGAGAGGTTGTGCAGTCTCCCTTCCTGGAGACACTCAAAGGACATCTGAAAATGGTCACCTAGGTGACCTGACTCTTGATATCCCTGCTTGAGCAGGAGGGTTGGACCAGATGACCTCCAGAGATCCCTGCCAATCTCAACTGTGGTTCCCTGATTCTGTGAATTCTGACAGCCAGCATTCAATGACAAGCAAAAGACAAGCAGCTGAGTATCAGGAACTACGTAACTAAATCTGTTTGGGGCCTTAGTGTTGATCTGATTTTTTTACTATTATTATTTTTTATTTTTTTTTCCTGATGTTAAGACTATTCTGGACTAAGTGCATCGGTTCAATATTTCAGACATGAAGAAAATGTGTGTTGGGAGACTCTCAGAAGCATCTAGAGGATTTACGATCAGAACATAAGGTCTTCTGGAAGTCAATAGGGCTTCTGCCCCTAAATCTTTCAGCTAGCTTTTAAACTCACTCCTGCAAACTGTAAATGGCCAGGATGGAAGGAAGGAGCTTCTTGGCAGGTGTGTTAGGAAGTCAACAACTATGCCACTGAGCGGGAGAGGCTGCATTGATCTTCTGCACACAGAAACCTCTGCATATTTTGCAACTGTTTTATTGCAGATTGTATTTCAGGAATTCTTTCAGTGGTGACCCACTGACCCTGTTAATTATTCAAGAAGTTACATGACTGACAAGGACTGTATTTCTTTGATTGCTGTTACTTGTGAATTCCCCAAAGTCAGCCTCTCTTGGGACATAAGTTACCTGTCTCTTCTCTGTGAGCACCTGTGCTGTGGTCATGTGTATGCTCATTGTAAGTAGGACTGCAACACAGCTCCTGGCAATCTCAGATGACTGACTGATTGCAGGTGAGACAATCACACACAACTGTGGGATAACTTGTGTCAGAACAGCCAGTGCAATATTACTGTCTGGCATAGTAAAGACAAAAATTTCCTGAACCAAATTATTTGTGTGAGTTTAAAGCTGCACATAGCTTTCATTTAATTTGGAGCTACATTTTCTTCCCTGTTTGTTTTTCAAATAATATTTATTAATTCAATTTCTCTTCATCAAAAGTATGTTCAGAAGTGGTTCTTGAGCACAGGCAGTAACTAGCTGTGCTCCATGAGCCTGGATAAACCCGTTGTGATCACGATGACCTGTGTAGTTCAATTGAATAAGAACAAGCTTTATAATGAAGTAAGCCACAAGAAGACTTCAGGTCCACTTGAAATAGAGAAAAACTATTTAACAGTCCTTTATTTTTAATTCTTAGAAATGAGCTATTTTCTCCATTTCACAAGAACTGTTATTTACACATTGGGACAGGCTGACCTTTATTGAGCAATGATTCATGTTTCGAGGACATAAAAAATAATTTTGAAACTGTAAAAAGGCAGAAGATGAGTTACAAGCCTTTAAAGTTCCCACAACACGTTTCTAGGTAAGTGAACTTTACATCAGGATAACTTTGTCTGTTTTGTTATAAAAAAACTGCAGTACAGCCCTGTCATACAAATCATGCGGTAGAAAATGTGTTGGCATAATCATATTTGTCTTAGACTGTTAGATCAGGGTAAGGGTTTTACAGGTAACTCATACCAAGGGCTGAAAAGTGGGGGTCAAGGAAATTCTAAGTGTGACGGAAGAAGAGAGAAGAATCGCTCTTACCACTCAGAACAATTAACTATTGATCAACTTTATGAAATCTTTTTCTCTCCCTGAGGATTTTTCTCCACATCTGTGGGCTTCACACTGAGATGGAAAATGTTTTGAGAAAATATGCTATAAATGAATGAGGATTTTTTGTTTTTCTATCTACTTGTGGACTCATCTATTTTATATTGTACAAGAAATCTTATCACAGTAATTTTTGAATCTATGAATTTGCTCAAAGTTTCTAACTAGAGTTTATAAAATGAGAGACTAAAATCAGTCTCCTTTATCTTGGATCTTGAAGAAAATTCCCTCTGGTATGGTCTGCTGACAGAAGTTTTGTGATGAGGGTAAAAGATGAATTTGTTTAAAGAATTGATCTTTTGGGAGTTCAGATGACTTGCAGACATTAGAAGAGAAGACAGGCAAATTGGAATTAGGTTTTAGAGGCAAATTCAGAAGAAAATACAGGAGGAATTAGGAATGAATAAACCACAGTGATAAGGCTGACCATATTATGAAGGTTCTGCCACAGTGCATGGGAAAGATTTTCTGTCTCTTTATTTCTATTTCTGTAAATCAAATCAAAACCAGAAGGAAAGCATACCTGGGCTTTACACTTTCTTTAATGCTAACATTTCTTGAGATATTTCACTTAATATTTGAAGTACTTCTCTATTATCATTCATACTATATTTCCTTTAAAGAAACAGGTGATAAGGGAAATAGGTAGCCCCAATGTTAACTTGAAAGAAAGTTGAAATTTCCCATTAGCCAAGAACTATGATGAATTTTATCTGTACAAACATTATATTTAGGGTCTGGGCTTTTACTGCAATAAAGGTCCTTTGTTAAGACCAAAGCCTGGTGGTTGACTCACAGCATGTATAGTAATGCCTTAAATACTGTAACAAAAGAATGATGCTTCAATGCTTAAATGAGACTGGTTGCTAGGAACTTTTAAGAGCATCTTAAATAGAGATCATGATTGTGTCTGAAGGTAAACTAATTCTGAGCAGTTCAAAATTCACTAGTGTTCAGATGTCAAATTATTGTCAGCCATTAGAGATTTCTTCTGGGTTCTGTCTTCTAGGCATTTTCTTCTTCCGTTACAGGAAAAGCACTGAGTGAAGATATCTGAAAAACACAAAGAATGCTGACACCATCCAAAATAGTCACTGTTTTCTTACTTCGGCAGGGTAGTCTAGGACAGCCTGAGGTCTCACGCTCTGTAGGAGGAGCACATCCAAGACCTCTTCATGCCCCTGGTTCCCTTTTCGTCCCACTGACCCCATTTCTTCTCCCCAATATACATCCACATCTGCCAAATCCTCTGTGTATATATATTGTACCCTCACTTCCTTCAGATGTCTGTGGCACCTTTCTTGTATTTCTACATCCCCTGCTCCGCATATAGGATGTCCAGTTGCTGCCCATGTCTCCAGGATTAGAGCAAGAACATGGAACAAAAAGAGAAGAGCTTGTGTTTGTGTTTGTGTAGCCTGCACATGGAAATGCCCGTTGTCTCTTCCAAATACAGTGAAATGAATCTATCTACTTATCTCAGAGTTAGGTGTTCTTCTTCCCATGCTTATTTTCAGGAGAATCAGGGAGCTCATTTCAGACGTTTTCTCATGGCATCTAATACTGCTGCACATTGCAGCAGCTTTATAGAAATACTGTGAGGACATACAGGAAGAACAAAACCAAGAAATATTATTCATTTCCATCAGTCTGCATGTTTGTGGCACTAAAAATGGCAAGTTCTGTGGTCTTTGTAGGGATGAAAAGTGGAATTAGTGAGAACTCACTTCCTACAGATTTGTCTCTTTCCTTCTCCAGTATTCCTCATGTCCCCAGGACCCAGTCCCCAGGAAAGTGTTAAGTCTTTCCCATGCTCCTAGACCTTCTTACCTTCCCCATCACCTCCATTTCCTCCCAGAGGACCCCCAGCTACTTTGCATCCTCCCACTGCACCACATTGTAACTTCTCCATTTTCTTACCATGTCCCTTACTGATTTGCCTAATGCTGGTTTGAAAACCACTGCGCAGATAGGCAGTACTTATGTACATGAATGATTAGTCAGTGGTTGGTATTGTTTTTAAATTCTGGTCATTTGGGGAAAATGTGTAAGAACTTCATGGACCTATGCACCTTTTTAAACCTTGGGTGAACTTGATATATGGAATTGAAAAAGAGTTAGAAGAGGACATAAGGGGTCAAACAGACTATGTGAAGTGGAGGTTTTCAAAAGCACAAGGCAATTTAGAAACGCTGTCTGCTTGTGGTGAACTATACATAAAAAGCCCAGACATTTGCCAGAATGAAATGTTGAATAGGTAGTTAGTTTATTTTTAGACACTTTTACTCCAGTAAGAGTTCTATGGATACTGTTGGAGCAATAAAGGTCTGGCAGATATAATTTCTTTTATTCAGGATGGGTAGAAACAAAATGGACACTGGCCATCTTTCATATTCTGCCATAAAAATTTTCTACAGTACCAGTATTTCTATGCTGGCAAACTCTTTCTGGTATATGACTGTGTTCCCAAGTGTTTTCAGTATTTCTAGAACATTCCCTGTCTCTATTTTTAGTATCATCTCAGGCCTCTGTGAAAGCATCAATGATCAATTGCTGTGGGTTCTAAGTTTCATTTTCAAGATCAAATATTTCACTAAGACAAGCCTGGTATCACAAGTAATAATAAGTTTTCAGAAACAGCAACTCTTAGATGGGTGTGTGGGATTTACAGAGAACAAGTTGCTGGGGAGCTGCTGAGACTGGAGCAAAGAAGGTGGCCAGGAAAATAACTATCATTTCTTGCATCTACCAATTCCTTCAAAAACATCCTCAAAAACATAGTGTCATATGGTGATTACATCAGAGGGTCCCTGCTCATTAGTGTTTATCTTATAAGGGTTAGCTCATAAGTATAACCATATAAGAAAAGTCATATTTAATACAAATTTTAAGATTTCATTTAGATTACATATCTGCATGCACTCTGCACAGAAAGGCACTTCATAATTTTCAAAGAATTTTTGCAGTGTCATTAGTTTATAGTTAATCTGACAGCAAAAGTTAACATTTGGTGCTTTCCTTAAAACCCCATCTGCGTGGAACATTATTGTTTGTAGCTGAGGGCTTGAAAAGCCCACAGACCGGGAAGCTGGCATAAATACACCTTGTTGTTGTTTTATGTCACGATTTTTTAAGCATTTCTTCTTGTGAGTAGGAGGGCACAGACAGGCTTTTCCTCTTGGATCAGTTGGTGGGCAATAGCGCTTTGGGCTTGTTCGCTCTGTCTGATTGACGTATGTGAATGCTGCCTGGTGGGTTTCCATAACAGTACCATTCATAACTACCTGGTCAGACTGACCTGTTAAGTTTTCTTGATACACAGGAAACTGTGGAGACCAGACCATTCTTGCTCCTTCGTTTAGCAGAGTACCTCTTTCTCAGGGACTAAATAAATGGCTAGCAAGTCTAATGGGAAACCGTAAAAGCTATTAGGTTGCAAGCCAATATCTGATAACGGGAGTACCAATAGATTATTTATAGTTTGATGGTTTCAGACTACGTTTGTGGTAGTGTCTTGGCATTGATCTTAGTGTGCAGTTGCAAAACACATTAGCAAGGGATGCATTGTTTAAACATCCATTAAAGGCCAATGAAATATTTCACCAATTAATGTGAACCTTGGTCAAAGTATGTCTTTGGAAAGAGCTTTGAACAAACCCAGCCCGATGTCCTCCCAGAGGAAGAGGTCTATGTAGCAAAGGATGGGCAGGCTCATGGTTGCTGGAGAATGAGAGCTTGGGATGTAATACCACCCTCCCACAGCACTTGTGCCACATACCTGTGAGCTGTGTTCATAAACGTGCATGACCTTATCACATTTTCTGCTCTGCTGGAGAAAAACACAACCCAGTTCTGAACAAAGAAAGCTGAACTGGTCAGAAATGTTTATCAGGAAATTATTATCTCTTCTGTATTGCACTAACAACAGCATGAAATTTATTTATTTATTTTCTGGAAAACATTCTTCTAAAAACCCATTTAATGCACAGACATTTTCTGACTACTCTTTTTAGAGCCATTCAAATTTTTCAGTCTCTCTGACTGCTTTTAATTTATTTTTAGAAATCTGAACCTAGTTCCCAAGTTTGGGAACTTATACCACCAGACCCATTTGTTGATGTGGCATGGAAGGAAGCATTTTGTGTCTAACAGTATTAAGCACAGGACTGAACATTTTTATTTTTTTTTAAGATTCTTAACATTCCTTATTACATTTTTATTGCAATATCTTAAACAATTCCTGGTTATACCACCCGGCTAACTAAATTTGATATGCTGCTCCCCAGTGAAAGCTGGGACACATTTCAGTTCAGGCAGATATCACAGTGCATTTGGTCTTGACATCTATTAGTGGCATTATAGCTGAATATTATTTATTATGGGCCATAATGGTAGGATTCTTGCTGTCCCCTAGTGGCTAGTTCATTTTATGAGTTCTGTATGTCTATTACAATTTCTGTCATCCTATCATGATTTATAAACTGGCTTGCAGTTTGATTTACACCATGAACCAAATGCAACCTTAAAAAGTCCATTAAAATATTTTCCAGCATAAAAACTGGCCACCTGATAAAAGCCTCAAGAAATAATCACTTATTGCATCTGCACAGCTTTAACTAGTCAGGAGCACTGAAACAAAACTTCAGCCAGAGACTGCAAACAAAAACAAAAACCAACCAACCAAACAAAAAAAGTTTCAGGTGAAAGACAGAAATTGTCAAATGTGATTTTATTGAGGCAGTTAGTGATGTTTTGACAGTATGCTCAATTTACCCAACCTGCTGCTACAGTGAAATACACCAAACGGTGCTTTGAGGGGTCAGGAGTGGCAAAGAGCAATTGCCATTCCTCTGCATCCTAATATCAGGCACAACTCCTACACCTAGCTCCTGTTACCTGATGGTTTGGAAACATTTACGCCAACATAGCTGAACAGATGCCAACATTGGCTTGCATGCAATATGGAGACTGCAATAATTTCATGAGATGAGATTAGAAGGAGCTTTCTGAGCAAACTTCATATCACAGTACTGGTGCCAAACTACAGGATGAGTCCTCCTGCTGCTGCAGTGAGAGCAGGGCTCTGCCCAGCTTCGGCAGAAGCAGACTAAGGATGTGGATAATATGTGAAGTCTGGAAGATGACTGCAGTACAGGAATCGCTGTTGAAATGTAGTTCATGCATAGAAACTCATTTCAAAATGCTTATGTAGAATGAAGAAATCCTACAAGACTCTGTAGAGTATGGGAAATTCTGATTAGTTATAATGAAAAGAATTCCACCACAAAGGTGGTCAAGCACTGGAGCAGACAGTCAACAGAGGGTTTAGAGTCACCACCCCTGGAGCCTTGCAAACTGGTGTGTCATATACGTTATATTTTCTCGTATGGAAATTTTCAGATTTTCATATGAACAATACGTTATTAGTGGAAAATCTTTGCTGAAACTTTCAAAGGAACTTAAATTTTATTCAAGCTGTACGTGAATCTTTGTGAAGCTTCCCTGAAAACAGGGCTAGTTTTGCAAAGAGGTTCTAGTTTAAATGATAGTACTGGCACAAGAGGGAGTTAACTCTAGGCTTCCCACACCAATGTAAGTCCTGCTTATTTTAATGAAAGTCCTATGTAATTATTAAACCAATATGCATATTGATGTAAATTGGTATAAAGTGCCCAGTCAGGAGGGGAGTGGTGGGGGCCATAATTTGGGCTGGGAGGCCCCATGTCTTCCCTGTACCTCCACACTGCTCAGTGCAAAGGGCCCTGACAAGTCTGTGCAGGTGCAGTTGTTCTCGTTAGTGCTGTGCGTTGCAATACTGGAGCTTGCATACGAATGTGATACATATAATATTTAACAGATGTCTGCTGTGAATGCTTTTTTCATACAATTCCCATTTTTGTAGTTGGTTCTTTGTTACAGACCCTAGTTAATTTTTTTTGTTGTTGCTGTTATTTCTTAGCACCAAAAATGAACTTTGTGCAAGCTGGCTATAAAATTTTCCATCTGCTAGCCACATCAATAATAAACAACAAACCCATTTGTGCTTTAATTTTCCTACAACAGCACAGGAGAAAAAAAAAAAAAAAGGAAAAAAAAAAAAAAAAAAAAGCTTTGCTCATTTATCCACTGCTCTGTTGTTGATACAGAGCCAAATGCAGACCTTAGTTTTAAGTCAATGGAGCTATTGCGTGGATGCATTTGAGCATATTGAACAAATCACACAAAACAATCTCTTATTTTGTTTGCACATTTGCACACAGTGTAAGGAGCAATACAACAGAATAACAGATGCTTCTGTATTCTTTTTTTTCTTTTTTTTTCAGCAAGTCTTCAACCAAGCAATGAAACTATTTTTACAGCACTAAAACCTAGTGCAACTAATATATTCATAATGGATTTTTACGATCCACTCTTGTATCCCCAGTGGCTCATTTGCAGAGCTTAATGCAATTTTCCAAAAGCTGAAAAATGTAATTCAGAGCAGCTTCCTGGTCTAAAATCACATTGATTCACTAATTCACTGTTTATAGCTTCTAGTTGCAGACAAGGGAGTTTCTTTCAGACAAGACATTTCTTGGTAAGTAAAATATAAACCAGCTAAAGACCCCAAATCTTTAGCTGAAATAATCACAGAAGTGTTTAACTACAACTGCAACGAGCTTCAAGCACATTTTAAAATTAAGCATATGCTTAAATATTCTTACAGAACAAAGAGGCATTTCCAAATGAGCACCAAAGAAAGCTGAGAGGGGCTTGTCTACTTTGAAACTGAAGGAGACAAACTACAATGCACCTGAATTGGATCATGTTTAACTATTCAGTGAAAACTTTCAGAAGTAAAACGGCTGTAGTTTTACAGCCATTGAGCTTTCCTGAGTGTCCCAAGGCAAATGTGGGCCAAGTCCCTGGTAATAATCTTTCCAACAAGTTAGCAAAGGGACAATGAAGCATCTAAATTAATTATGAGAACAGAGGCCAAGAATGTCTACTGTACACACAAAAAAAACAGCAGAAAAAAATAGTGCATATAATACAGAAGTGACCATGAGAACAACAGAGCATCTGTTTGTTTAACTCATCCAAAAATGCTCAGTCAGGGGACACTAAACATCTGTGAACTACAGGTGTGTTTTGCAAAGCCTTTGCAAAGGTAAAACAACATACAGTTCTTCCTTCAGAGCCTGAATGCTGCTGGGAAAAGAAAAGAAAACTGTGAGGCTCTGCTTCCCCCTGAATTTATATCCAGTCCTGCCACTGCATTTCCTGGAGCAGTCCAATGACTTTGGTAGGATTGGTAAATTATTCAAGCATGTTTTTCTCTCAGATAAACATCACTTTTTTTTTTTTTTTTTTTTTACAGCTGGGAAAGCAAGTCTTAGAGAGATCACAAGGCTTAGGTAGTGACATCCGAAATCTAGCTGCATCCTTGTCTGCTGTCTAAGCCTGCCAGCACCTGAGACTTTGAAATTTAAATTGCTCTGATGCCTGATGGACTTCTCCCCAGGCATGTCCAGAAGCACTCAGCTCCTGCTGCTGTATGGATCAGCTTGTATATCAAGCCTAAAGGATTCACAAACCTGCTGTTTCTTCACCCCACCTTTTTAAGGAGCATTTCTCATGTGTGCCTGGAGACACCTGCTTCATCAGCTTCCAGGTAAAATGCAGGTTCTTCCTGCTGGAGCAAGGTGGGGCAACACCTCATCGCTAGATGGGGGAGATTGGTCTTAGTTCCCTCATTTGCTTGGCAGCTTTGCTCTACTCACTAAGCCAGAGGCTCTTTGGCTTGGAGCACAAGTTCAGGAAAATGCACCAGCTCTCCACATGAAGCCATGTCACAGCCAAAAAAAAAAAAAAGAAAAATTAGATGAAGACTGATGTAGGCTGAGAGCAGGAGCTTGACTACAGCCAAGTGGTTTGTGATCTTCTCCTGGAATGGCCATCAATACTCCAAGGCCTGCTTCTGCATTTTTAATATCACATTTCCAGCTGACTACCTTAACCTTAAATTTTAGAGTAGCCTGTGACTGAATTATTGCTTAAGTTAAAAAGGAATAGAAAACCAGCTTCTGTCCTGAAAAACATCCTATAGTAGGTATTTAGGGCACTTTTTGGGGAGATGTTTTTTGTAGTATCCCCAAGGAAAAGAGAGAATAGGAGTCAAGTCCCCTGCAGCCTGTGTAGTGGCTATTTGGCATTGAAGGGAAGGGCATCCCAGCCTGCTTAAACTGTGTTGGAGACAGGAATGAACCAAGTCACAGCGTAGGCTGTGAAGGTTCAGTGGGGGCAAGGATTTGAGATGCACCTCTCTACAGCATCACCTTTCAGGCAGTTTTTGGCATCTCCCTGCCCAGCACACTTACTGTTGTGCTTTCCAGTTGGAAGGATTTAATTCCCACAGCATTTCAGTTCCACTAAGGACTCCTCTGCGGAGGTGAATGGTTACAACTTGGGTGCGGTGAGAATGGTTATCCCTCTCCCATAAAGGATCTGGACTAAAAGTTCTTGTTTAGAGTAAGGCACAAGTATTTGACTCTGGAGAAGAAAAGCAAAGAAAAAAAAAAATCCACCACCCTCAGGTTTATCCACTTAAGTCTCCCTTCTCTGGTGGAGACTTGCAAGTGATTCTCTTCATGCAGATTCATGAAGGCTCCTTCTCCCTGAGCAAGCACCTCTGAAGGCTGACGGTGCAGGGCAGCTCTTTAGAGAAGCTCAGAGGAGTGGGCCTATCAACATGCAGTTGTGTAATTCAGAAAAACAATCTAACTTGTTATTATTTAATGATAAATGATGCAAAAATTGATCTTACCAGTGAACATTTCCCCGAAGAAGCTGCAAAAGGCTTGAGAACAGCTCCATCTTCTGGAAATGCATCATGATCATACTGGGGAGAGCATATATTTGCTTTGCTTTTATAAGTTGTTTGAATGCATGTTTTTTCTCCTAAAACTACTGTCATTCAAATTGGTGGTAGCTGAACATCTTGGCTTTGGTTAAGGTATCCCTATACTTCAGCAATATTTCCACAGCATACATGCATGTGTTTTTTTTCAGTCTACCCCATTTTGCCATGAACCAAAGAAGATACAGGCATAGCACAATTACAGCAGTGTAAAAGCTGAGGACATTGTTTTGTTTTATTTTGTTTTGTTTTGTTATTATTTATTTATTTATTTTTCACAGAAGCTATTTGCATCTGAAACCTAAAAGGAAACTTTTTGGACTAGTAAGCTGTAATTTGAGACAAATTAGTGTATTGGGTGCATGTGACAATGTTTTTGTAGTGAGGGGCTGCAGGGGTGACTGCTATGAGCAGAGCCCAGCAGCAGCCCCACGTCAGATCAGAGCCAGCTTCAGTTGGCTCCAAAGGGATCCGCTGCTGGCCAGAGCTGAGCCAGGGAGAGTCACTGGGTGGGCCTCTAGGAGAGCAGGCTGAAGGAAGGGGGGGGGAAAAATTGCTGCACCACCACAGCTGGGAGAGAGGAGCAAGAAGCAACCCTGCACCCCAACAGGAGGCAGGAGGTGCTGGTGCTGCAGGCAGGCAGCAGCAGTTCCCCTGTGGCCTGTGGAGAGGCCCCTGGTGGAGCAGGCTGTCCCCCTGCAGCCCATGGGTCCCACATGGAGCAGATCTCCACGCTGCAGCCCCCCCATGGGTGGAGGAGCCCCCGGTGGAGCAGGTGGATGTGGCCTGGAGGAGGCTGCGGCCCATGGAGAGGAGCCCACGCAGGAGCAGAGAATGACTGCGAAGGAGCGGTGGAGACAAAGTGTCAGGGACTGACCGCAGCCCCCATTCCCTGTTCCCCTGCTCCGCTCAGGATGCAGAAGTGGAAGAGGCTGGATGTGGGGCAAGGTGTTTATAGTTTGCTTTGAGTTTCTCACTTTTCTTGTCTGATAGTGATAGATGGGGGGGGGGGGGGGGGGGGGGGGGGGGGGGAGGGGAGGGAGAGAATTAAATGATGATGTGACCCTGCAGAGATCTCCCAGAATTGTCACAGTACAGGAAAACCCTTATTTCCTTACTGCTTCCTTATATGTGCTGCTCATGGCACAGCTTAGCACAGTTCCATAATCAAGGCATTGCACTGCCAAACTACCCCACATCACAGAAACAATACGTTCAATCTGCAGTAAAATGTTAGAGTATTAATTATGTCAAATGGCAAAATTACTTAACAAACATGTTTGCCACTTGCAAACTGAAAGGGAAGAGTGACTGTATGAAGTTTGTAGAATACTTGGCTGAAGGTAAATTGGAAATTACCTATTCCCTGTTAGGAACAGATTTAGAATTCTGATAAGGTATTTCTTGCTATAAATACAGATGTAACATGTATTTTCACTGTCTTCTCAAACTGCTGCACGAACATGCCCATCTTGTATCACAGTAGGAGTTTTCCTTAAGGAGTATCAGTATTATCTCACTTGAACAAACACAAAAAGTAAATAACATAATCTGGATAGTCATGTTTTTTAGATAAAGCTTCTGGCAAACTTTGTCGTACCAGTGCTTTATCACATGTAGCTTAACATACAAAGATATACATACCTCTTGGAAGTTGGCTCATAGCCAATTAACTATAAAATGTGCAGGTATAGTTTGAATGTAGTTTGAATACAGATGGAAGTGTCATACCTGGCAATCCTGAGGATTTTACTAATGAAATCTAGAGTTCCCTGTGTTGTCCCTGGCAGCTGTTGTATTGTATCTTTTTTGTTTTTGTGGCCTTAGCTGAATGCTAGCTAAACACACACTGTACTCTCTACTAAAGAGTAATTTTCTTGGTAGTGAACTGATGTGCTCTAGCCTTTTCTTCTGCAGGTATCTTATGACTTTTACTTAACATCTTTACTTTCCCTTTGAGTCAAACGCTGTTCCTTAAAATCACCCACAAGACTTTTTAATGTTTGAGACTTGACTGAATCTTTTTCTTTCAAGACTAATCAGCTGGCTGCAGAGACAGAGCAAGTTGCTGTACTTTGTTAGCTTTAGTGCTTCAACCAGGCTGTGTTTCAGGTATTAAATCGCATAAATCTGTATGTGGGCTTTGCAGAGAGTTGACAGGTATTTGTATGGCCCTAAACAGTACCTTGGAAAAACACAAATCAGTGTCTTCAGGCTTATCATGTAAATACTGTCAACTCTGCTTCTTCTAAAATAGGTGAGAGAAGAGAGTGTAATTTCCAGCCTAACCTTTTGCTATGAATCATTAATGATATGTGGGTACTATCTCATTTGGATCTTAGCTTATACTTACAACTTTCAACCTCATACTCTGATACTGTGTCTTCTTTCTGTTTTCTCCTTATTTTGTGATTCTTAGCCTGACCCTTCCCACAACACTATTCTGTTCTCACATTTCTCCCACAAAATGTTAACAGTGTAGGGATTGGACAAGGGACTTTCAACAAAACTCACTTTTGTTGTCATTCAGAAAAGCAGGGAGCAGCTTTGTTTAACAGAATAACACTCCAGTCAGTCTTATCCTTTTTTTTTTTTTTTCCTTTTTTTTTTTTTTTTCCCTCTAAGCCAAGCTCAAACTGTCTGTCTGTTTGTTGTGGTTTCACCACACAGCCGTTTGCTCACCCTCCCCCCTCCCTCTCTGGTTTGGGATGGGGGAGAGAAACGGGAAAGTGAAGCCTGTGAGTTGAGATAGAGACAGTTTATTAAGAGAAAAATAATAATAACAATAATGATGATAATAGTACTACTAATAATAATGTGTACGAAACAAGTGATGCACAATGCAATTGCTCACCACCCACTGACCAATGCCCAGCCTAACCCTGAGCAGCCAGCCCCCCACCCCGGTAGCCACCCCTATCTATTGCTCAGCATGACCCCATACGGTACGGGATGCCCCTTTGGGCAGTTGGGGTCAGCTGTCCTGGGTCTGTCCCCTCCCAGCTCCTGCTGCACCCCAGCCTGCCTACTGGCAGGACAGAGAGAGAAGCTGAGATGTCCTTGGCTTGGTGTAAGCACTGCTCTGCAACAATTAAACCATCAGGGTGTTATCAGCACTCTTCTCATCCTAAGCCAAAGCATAGCACCCTACCAGCTACTAGGAGGAAAATTAACTCAGTCCTAACTGAAACCAGGGCGCTGTTACATCTGGTTAAAACTAAACCTGAGCTAAATCCACTTCAACCAATGCTTTTACTGCTTTAGGTCTTATGTGCTGCACTCGCTACTACTGCTCATAAGCCATGGCTTGCAGAATGAAGAATGGATTGTTTAATAAAGCAATACACTTCACATTCCACTGTTGACGGAATATTATTTCTCACAATTTATGCGGTGGGATGAATGTGGAGTTCATATTGCTGTCAGTGCAGGACTGCTGTGGTTTCACACCATCAGGCAGCTAACCACTACACATCTGCTTGCTCAGCCTCCTCAGCAGGATGGGAGAAAGTGATATGAAAAAAAACTTGTGGTTGAGATAAAAATCAGCTCAATGAAAGAAAAGCAAAGGCCTCTTGTGGAAGCAAAAGGAGAAAAAATTATTTTTTCTAGGCTAGACAATGTCCAGCCACTTTCTGGGAAGCAGGGGCTCAATACACATGACAATTGCTTCAGAAGACAAACACCTTCATAACGAATGCCCCTTCCCCTTTCCTTGTTCTCAACAGGTTTTTCTTGCTGAGCCTGACATCACATGGCATGTCACATCCCCTTGGCCAGTTTGGGACATCTCCTCTGGCTATGTCCCCATAATTTGCTCACCCCAGCCTACCAGCTTTTGGCGGTGATGGGTTGGAGAGGCCGCCTGATGCTATGCCAGCACTGCTGGGCAGTAGACAAAACATTGGTGTGATATTGATGTTGTTCTAGCTACAGCTGCAGAGCACAGCAGTGCGTGGCCTGCTGTGGAGAAAATTAACTCCATCCCAGCCAGACACAAGGTGCAAGAACTAAGCTGAGTTTCATTATAGGTGAAACAAAAGTATTTTAAAGATGCACCAAGTTGCTATGGTGAAATCCCTGCCCATGCCAGGGGGGATGAAACTAGGTGATCTGTAATGTCCCTTCCAACCCAAGCCATTCTATGATAAAAATCTTTCTAGAAATGATTGTCCTTTTTTGAGAAGGCTAAATATACAGTCACTGTAAACAATTGTATTTATTAAAAATAATAATAATTTAAAAAGAAAAAAGAAAATCCAGTAGCTGCAGAGCCATTGTTAAGTAGCACAAAATGACCCTTGTGGCCTCTGTGCCCTGGTGCCCAGAGGAAAGGACAGTCCCTCTGACTGTGTCTGTTCAGCACCTCCTCATGTGTGGCATTTGTGGTTCTGCTGCCTCACTGTTCTGGTGGTTGTGTGTCCTGGTCACACGTAGAGAAGCCTGAAGTGGGTACAGCAGTCACCTCAGCATATATCAAGATATTCAGGGTGCTAATGCATGTTATCATCTGCTGCTTGCTATTGGTAGCCTCTTCTGCTATTTTTCATTAATGACTACTAAGTCTGTCTCTTCTCAATTAGTGACCCAATTAGGAAACTTTCAACATGAGTGATCGTGCGTGGAGAGAAATTCATTATATGTTCCTAGATGATGAGCAAGCAAATGTGTGCTGGGTGTGATGAGTGATTCTGGGGCTCCAAATTCTCTTCACTTTGTGAATCCTCTTGCAAGGTAGATATGGTTTGCTTCCTTTGAACTGAGGGAGGCATGGAAAAAGCAGAATGAAGGTTGAAGATTTTTTTTTGCTACACTAACTTTTTATTTATTTTTTTTTTTGAGATATGGTAGGTACTCTAAAAGACACTGAGATATCTGTTCCTAGGAAACAGCAGTTTGTTTGCAGATGACAATCTGTTCCCTGACCTTCCTAATCTAGACCAACTGTAATGAAGTTAGAGAGAAAAATGATATTTGTTTATTTACTTCAGAATATTTTACAGTAACAGCAAA